TGATTTAAAGATCTGGTTTATTTCATTGCAGTTTTCCTCCAGTTGACTTTTCTTCAACTGTTGAAAAGATTGAAGGGAGGTGTGAAAACGTTTAATCACAGGGGAAGTCCACCAAGAAAAGTTTGGGAACCACTACCTTAACAGCTCCACATTCTTTGACCAGAGCTTTCAGGACAAAAAAAAAAAAAGTTATATTTTTGGCAAGAAAAAATAAAACTAATAAACCAAACAGCTCGCATACCTTTTCGCATTGTAAATTATTTTTTCACTTTTCCATTTAAATGTTTTGTCACATGACAAATACATCATAGGTAAATAATCAGTTTTAATAAGTTTGAAAGATCTGAGCGTCTGCCTAAGGGGACTTGTGTCCCGATTTGCCACAAACAGCCAGCTTTGACCAAAGGGCTTTATTTTAGTCAGCTTAGACCCTCCTCCCTGCGCAGATCAACAACCTGCCCTTTATCTGACTTTACTGTAACCACAAATAGATCTCAGCCCAGAACAAGATGGAACACCACTTCTATCATGTACACTACAAAAATGATCTAGAAATAGGTCAACGTTTCTTAAATTAATTGTATTTGACCTTAATTTGAGTAGATAAATAAGAGGATTTGCCAATGGAATGAGTATTTCTACTCTTAAAATAAGATAATTAGATAATATGCGCTTGAAATAAGACAATGCAATTATGTTTTCTTATTTTTAATGTAAATTTTCTTGTTCAATTGGTAAAGTTTCACACTTATCTCATCAATTCAAGAAAAAAATACTTATTTTAAGAAAAAATGACTTATTGAGATTTCAATTTTTCAAGTTTGCAGGCTGTTTATTAATTAATTAATTGGATGACTAAGAATTTTGGAGCTAAGTGGTTTCAAATGACACTTTAACACATTATCTTTATTTAAAAAATATTAAACAAACCAACAACATTCTGAGTTGATTCACATGCATAAATTCTGTGTAAGTGTTTTGTAAGTGTGTTTGTATGGCATGCCATTATACCTAATACCCATCAAACTGATTGCACATTTAAATTTAATGCACAGAAGCTGCATCTTTTTGGATACAAAGAACTATTTAAGAGAAAAACTGTGACCTCAGCCAGCGGCTAACTATCCAATCAAGTATGTTCTTTCGTTATTATTAAGCTCAACCCAACACCTTTCATGTTGTCCCTTTAACATCAAGCTTCTGCAGAAACTCCAGTGTTTACATCTAAAGCACAGCCTGCTGAGCCTGGAAACAAGGTTTGTATATTTAGGCCCGAGTGTCAGAAAAAAGAAAAGCAGCACTGGCTTCTGCTGTCTCATGTTGTATATATATTTATCCATAAAAGAAATGTGTGAAGTTCTTTTCTATTACCTCAGTTTTGTCCTCGAGTTGTCCCCTGCTGCCAATTTAAATGTTTTGTACGACTACAATGTTTGTAAATGATGAAAACACAGAATCAGCTCTCAAAAAAAAAAAAAAAAATATGTATGGAAAATACAAGAAATTGCAGTGTCTACTTTTTTGGATACTTTATAACAAAGGAAATAAATAAACTAAAGTGATCTTCACACGACCACTGTGTGTTTGTTCATGTCCTGCCACAGATTCATGGTCCATTTTGGTGATCAAGGTGTCAGATTCTTGTCTGGATATCACTATCATTCCCTGCAGCACACCGAGTCGCTGCTCGGCCTCCTCCTGCAGCCTGCTGCCATTTTCCATCATGCATCTGATTTAATCTGTCACCTGTTGACACAGAACATTAGAAGCCCTTATTCTAAATCCAAATATACGTATAAAAGTCAATATCCAAGTGCTTAGCATTGCTTTACTCTTCACAAAATTTAGGTTTAAGTTAATTTAGTTAGGAAGGATTATTAATGAAAACAATAGAAGTCCAGTTAGGTTCTGCTGAAATACTCCTCTTTGACTGAAAATCTACACCACAACACAGAATATGTCATGAAATGCAAAACCTCGTCAAACATCCCCGTACCTCAATGCTTCACTTTTTTGCCTTTGATTTTCTGGATCTCCTTTGAACTGAGGATCAGCATGCCGTTCTTGAACCGGCCCACCTGACCGGAGGGCGTTGCGGCAGAACCAGAGGATGATGGTTTCTTCTTGTCCCTGAGGAAAACGCAGAAGGCATAAAAAATTTCGACTGAGGTCCAACAACACAGGCTGCATCCTTCCAATGAAAACAAAGCCTGAGGCTTTCCCTCTACAGTTAAAGTGGCTGTGAGACTCTCACCTTTGATTACTCTTTTTCTTTTTCTTCTTGTCCTGCAAAGTAGATGTGTTAAAATATATTCTTGTGAAATAACATAACAGAATATTAATGATGGAATAAGCAGGTCTTACTGAATGAGCCTCCTTTTCTTTCTGCTTCTTCTCTTTGATTTGCTCCTGCAACACCTTGTAGTTCACGTACTCCTTCTTTGGAGGCTTCAATAACATCATTAAAAAAGCAATTAATGCAATGAATAAAACCTGTTGACTAGACAAACATGTCATTGCAACAACCATATAGGACTGTAAAAATATATATTCCCCTTACAGATTCAAAGATTTTTTTTCCTCTTCTATTATTTTTGCCTATTCAATTTCTTATTGTCTGATCATGAAAACTGGCTTGAACTGAGTTAGCTGTGATCGTTAGCGGTCATTGATGGGCAGTAGCGCTACATGTAGC